TGCTGAGGGTGCGCTCTGTCCCTTCCTCCAGGTCATGATGAAGACTGGACCCAGTACTGGCCTGTGGGGGACACCGCTAGCTACAGACTCCAACTAGCCTCTGTGCCATGTCATAGACATGTCAAATTTCTATCCCATTAAAGAAGTTTACCAATAGAAAAATAATATCTGTATTTGTTTTGCATTTCTAAAGGTGTATCTCATGACTTGGTTGCTGTTCAATTTTATTTCTCAGTTCAGTGTTTTACATTTGTGTCTTTTAAATCTGTGCCTGAGGGGCTTGCAGCTTTTTTTAAGGTTATGGATAACACCATATTTTAGAACCTCATGGACAGTGTATCATGTTCATTGATCAGAATCCAGCCCTGTCATCTCTCCACAACCTCAGAAACCACAAATGGCAGAGGAATGGGTTTATTAGGGAAGGACTAACTTTCATCTCTTTTAGTTGAGTGCACTCTGTTTTGACTTTTTCAGTGGGTGAACTGCAAAGTTTTGGGTGTGGTTGTGTATTTTATTTAGTGGGAGCTGTACTACTAATACTTTCATCTGTTTTGTTTAACATTTCCTCTTTTCACTCATCTTAAAAAACTTTTGCGGTACCACTTCCAGTAGTATTTTTCAGTAACCTTGCTCTTGCTGTGCCATGTTTTTTTCATCTCTTGTGATTCACAGCAGACATCTCCTGAGCTGGGTAAGCCTTATTTCTAGCTGTTGTTGCAGGTGTCCTGGTTCCTCTTCGCAAGAGAATTGTATAGATGCACTTAAGAGCAACTGGATTAAACCAGCCCTGTGCGACAGGACAGCTTCCTGTGCATTACACTTAACTGGGTTCACTGCATTCTCTCCATTGCCATGTTTCTACTGGCATATAGGCTAACATTTTATAGTAAAATTCCAAATGGTACAGGGAGGTACCATTTCTTTTAAGTTCCCATAGAAGAATTAGGTGCCTCTCTGTTGAGGAAAAATCTCAAAGACTTGTTTGCACGCCTAGATATTTTTGCGTTTTTAAAAGCCAGGCCAGACATTTAAATATTTAGGCTCTTTATAATGCGCTTCACTGAGAAGGTCCAGGAATCATGTCTGTATGCGACACTTCACTTTTCTGCTATATGCTCTAATTGAATAAATCTATCAAGTAAATGCAGAAAGCAGTTGTGCAACAAAAACCAGTGTAAGCACATAGTGTTCCTGTTTATTGTGGAGCTAAGGGTAGACTTAAGAATTTGAGATTCAGTTTTTCAAGGTGCAGACTTTTTTTTTTTTGAGAAATGTCTAATATTTATGATTGCAGAATAATAATGATGGAATGTTATACTGTACTTTAACAGATTTACACTTTGGATATAGACAAACCTGAAGACTGTTGGAAGAAGTTTACTTCGAATCGTACAGTAGGAGTTCTGCTCTTCGTAGGGATTATGCTTGGAAATCTTTGGAAAAGAAAAGACTCAAAAAAGGAGGAAGCGCCTCTAGAAAACAGGTAGCTGAAACTACTATGAGTACTGATATTTTAATCTGGTTAAAATAAAGATACTGTAAGAGTAAAAAAACTTAGAACTATTTCTGATTTATTCTATTTATTTATAATAGCTGATTAAATTTTCCTTATTTCTAAAAACATGCAAGTGAGATGAACCAACAAGTAAAGCTGCTGAACTTTGTTTATGGTGATATTGAATGTTTAAATATTAATTCTGTGTAGTACAAATAAACTTCTGTAAAATTCTCAGGACTGTGAGCCCCAACGTTTTCTACATAACACAACAGATATCTCTTGGTGACAGTACATGGGAAATGCAAAGTGATTTCAGGATGTAAATAAACTCTGGTTGTAAAGGTGTGGTGTTCTGATTTATTGCATGAATAATTTGCGGTTTCAGTTGGAGCTTGCTGTGTGGAGTAACTTCCATAACTGTTTTTATCCTGAGATGTCCAGAAGCTGTCAGGACTCTGTGTGTGTGTGTGTGTGTTTTTTGTGTGCGTATGTGGTCCAAAATAATAATAAGTCAATAGAAAAGTACTTTAAAATTATCTTTTTGGTTTTACGCTGGTTGCTGGCAGCAATTCTGTCGTGTAAGAGCAACAGACTTCTGCAAAGTTGCCTGCACAGAGTGAGCTGAGCTAGTCTATCAAGAACGGTTCGAACATGGGACTACTGACTTTAAAAAATAGAAAAGCCCAGAAATATTGCAAAGTGTGCATGGCTGGTAATTGACTGAAAGCTACCAATTCGTCCTGCAAAGTGACCATCATTTTTTATGCTAATCTTTTTGCCTTACGTTTGTTATCTTTATTTGTGATCTTACAGGAAGAACATGTTTATAGGAGTATGCCTATCAATGAAAAAATAGGAGCTGCAGGCTAACGATGACATGGCTCCAAAGTGTTCTGTATTTTTAACTTTTTAAGCTCTATCGGTTATGTAATTTGCATGGTAGTTAAGCTTTTCATGGACTCGTGATGTTAAAGAGTTTGCACTGTACAGTCTGGAATTAGCTTCTATGCAAGAAGCAACAGACACGCTTATTCTGTGAGAATGAGAGTGGAGTTTACTTCAACCTAGTCATGGTGGACAATGCACGTGCAGTTTTCTCCAGAGAAAGTTGTACAGATGCCTGCATTTGGAGCTGCAGTTTGATGATACCGAGCATTTGGTAGCTAAAGTCATTATGGCATTCAAATGGTCTTTCCTCATTTCTGTTCTGCTCCTTTAGTGGTGGGTACAACTGTTGGTGCAGGTGCGCTAAAAATCAAACTAGGGAACTGATCTAGCTTTAAATAAGACTGTCATATTTTAGGGTTATTTAAGGGGTATTTCTGGGAGACATGTCAGTCCAAAGTGTATACTCGAGGTTTGTTAACTTTCATTTTTACTTAGTGATGACAACAGTTCAAGAGTTTCCTGTTATAGCAACAGGAGATAGCTTTATAACAAGTAAACAGTTCTGGTTACAGAAAATCCTTCTTGGGGCAGGGCTTGAGTCTGGTATTTTTTGTATGCTTCTTCCTTGTAAATTGTACTTTGTTAAGTTTTCTTTTATTTTTTTCCTTTTGTGTTCTCTTACTGTTCCAAAAAATGATGTCAAAGATCTTTTGAGCAAATCATATACAAAAGGATTTTTCAGCCTGATTTCATATACAATGAAAGTACTTGAAGATGTTAGGAAGCATAACTTTTTTAGGGCCTTCTAGGTCCCTAGGCAGAAATTACTCTAACACTTGATTTATAACTTTTCAGTGGATAAAATATTAAGATGAAGAAAAACACTTTAAATATGAAGAGTAATAAGTTTCTGAATAATTATGTGACAAAGATACATTTATTTGAGGGAGAATTGGACATATCCAGTTCTGTGTTGAACCTAGGATATTAGGCGTTTACTAGTAACCAAAAAAAGAGTCTGGTGATATAATTAGCGTGCTTCAGTTCCTTACTTCTTATACATTGCCTTAGGGAGGTAGTGACAAGTTAGTTTTATCCATTTTGGACATATTAAAGTGTCTTTAACTAACTGATGATTTGAGAAAAGCTCATGTTTTGTAGTGGCTTTGAAACTTCTAGTGTCCTTTCTCCAGTGACAGCTTGTCATAATCAAGTGTTTAGTTTAAATGAATTTTTTTGGTATAGCAAAATAGAATAAAAATGCAAATTTCAAAGCCGTCCTGCCCTAAGCTTTAAAATTGTTGCATATTTTCTCTGGTGGTTTCCCAGAAACAACTCTAAATGCAATTGGTTACGAAGATAGCCCCCAGCTGTATTGTAGGTTCATTGTATAGAAACTGAAAGAAGATTTATGTTCTAGGCTATCCTATTGACGGTGTTAATTCCAAATCATTTTATGGTTAATATACACAAATAAGACATAATTTCATAAGTGCAAGAAGTACAAAGGCTGAATCATTTTCTGCTAGAAGGCTGTTTGTATTTGCATGCAGATACACGTGCGTATCTCCTCTCCCTCCATTCTGCTCCCAAGTTATTCTGTTCTGAGTCTTCAAGAATCAAACACACACTCAGTTGTATTTAAAGAAAGTCTGATATAAAATTATTAAATACCAGTTTCGTTATTAGCTCTTGTGGTTTTGCACAAATAAGCAGTGTTCTTTGGAAGTATTTCCTGTAATGTTGGGGGTGTTGCTTTTCTCCTCCCCTCTCTTTTCTAATTGTTCCTTTGCAGGGAGTCGAAATAACTGGTGCTTCTAAAGGCAGCAGAAAGGTTGAAGCCTTACAAAGGAGAAATTTCAGCATTGGCCATTGCTCACTGAAACCGAAATTGCCGTAAGCACGTAACCAGCACAAATGTTTGCCTTACATGCTACATGGTATTTCATTGAAAGATGTGTCAAAAGTAGCACCGACTCTGTTCAGCGGGAGCTCTGTACCTACACTAGCTCCCACAGAACCAGCAACAGTGAATACAAGACCAGAAAATGTGAGGGGTTGCCAAGCTATTGGCAGCAATTTGTAGCTGGCCTAGAGTTTTGACTCAAATGCCTCGTTGTGGCAGTTGTGATGAGGTGTTTCAAACTCATCTCTAAGGGAGGAAGGGAAACATGATGGGATCATCAAAGGTACCTGGGTTTTGCCATTTTTCTATTTCTTTAGTGAAAGAAGAGATTTTCAGACAAAGGAAGCCAGAGATTCCCTTCTTCTGTTTCAGGAAGGTACATGTTGCATGCACTTAGCTCTGCAACTGTCTAGTGGAAACAAAATTGGCAAGAGGGCAGGTGAGAGCCAGTGTTGTTGGGAGGATAGCAGTCTGGCGGGAGGGGGTTTATCAGCTCGCTAGGTGAGCCTTAGGGCTGACCATTAAGATTATGACCTGGGAACAAAAGGAGGATACTAGTGACATTTCCTAATGACTCAAAACCAGAAAGTTATGTCAAAATGTAGAAAGATCAGAATATCTTCTGGGATGGCCTGCATTGTTTGTGAGGGCTAGAGTACCAAAAAGCAGCCTGAAAATTAAAGTAATAGCTCATCAAGACTAACACAGATTTGTGGTTAGCCAGTATTAAAGGAAGACACACAAAGGATAGCTGTTGGGATGAAGGACTGATAAGGTAACTAGAAGTGAGAGAATGTATTTTATGAAAGGCCTTTTTCATTTTGGCAGAAACCGGGAAAGGGCTAGTAATTTGTTGCTGGTTTTCCCCCAGATTTTGCTGTGCTATTGACCACTTTTTCAGAATTTATCAAAAATAATACTTCAGA